TGTGAAAGCGTGTAATTTGTTGTGCGTCACTGACTGTGAACTGTGAATGGTGGTGTAAAAGGAGAAGGGGTTTGTTGGTATCCCCCTAAATAGAGAGTTAATATACATTTACACCGACATACATATATCCTTATGTAGGTGAGTGTTATACCCAGAAAACTTTATTAACATTTCCGTTTAATGTTTTTTTTTTTTCTGTTACCGCTGCATGTTATTGTATTTTTTTATTACTGCCATTTTTTAAGCTGTTACTAGTGTTGTAGGTGCGTTGAGAAGAAAACTATATTGTGTATTTTACAATCGGTTGTCACGCTTCTTATACAGACCTTAATATTCTTAGTTTTTAAGAAAAGCAGTAACTGTGGTATTAGCTAAGCATTCACAATAGTCCAGGTTATTGTCTCGACTATAGTCTGGATTATTATCTGGACTATAGTCTTTACTATAGTCTTAACTATTGTCTTGACTATAATCTTGACTATAGTCTCTACTATAATCATGACTATTGTCTTGACTATAGTCTTTACTATAATCATGACTATTGCCTTGACTATAGTCTTTACTATAGTCTTGGCTATAGTCTTTACTATAGTCTTAACTATAGTCTTGACTATAGTATTGACTATAGTCTTGACTATAGTATTGACTATAGTCTTGACTGTAGTATTGACTATAGTCTTGACTATAGTCTTGACTTTAGTGTTGACTATAGTCTTGACTTTAGTATTGACTATAGTCTTGACTATAGTACTAACTATAGCCTTGACTATAGTCTGGACTATAGTCTTGACTATAGTATTGACTATAATCTTGATTATAATCTTGACTATAGGCTTGACTATAGTCTTTACTATAGTCTCTACTATAGTCTACAATAGTCTTGACTATAGTCTTTACTATAGTCTATAGTCTTGACTATAGTCAAGACTATAGTCTTGACTATAATCTTGGCTATAGGCTTGATTATAGTCTTTACTATAATCATGACTATAGTCTTTACTATAGTCTTGACTATAGTCTTAAAGTCTATAGTATTGGCTATAGTCTTATAGTCCATAGTATGGACTATAGACTACAGTCTACACTGAAATCCAGTCTAGAATCTTGAGTAAGATCCAGACTATAGTTATCACTATAATCTAGATGATAATCTGGCCTATAGTACGGACTATAGTCTATACCATAGTTAGACCATAGACAAGACTATAACCATAAATTTATAGTCTTGTCTAGAGTCTGGACGATACTTTTGAATAAAACTTTTTATTGTCGTAACTTTTTCAAACATCTTTGTGTAACTAGTATACCAACTAACTTGATGTAGTGTTTCTGAAAGAAAAAAACTATACTGCTTATAGTTTTTAGTTATATGAAGTATAAACGAACTACACTATATTATTAAGTACATAATACTCGAGTAAAAATGTGTGGTAATTTTGGGAAACATATACATATAAAAAAACAACGTATGTTTCAAATATAACACTTGAGTTAGACATTGGGTGTCTTGAGTTGCTGGTAGTATTTGGCAAAATGAAACAACAACCGGCATTAGAAAAAACTAAAGGTTTAAAGTTTAGTTTTTGTGCAAAAAAAAAAATATGGTAGAAAATATAAAATATTTATAGAAAAAAACAAAAACAAGAAAAATCAACTGCAAGGAGCAGGTTTTATATACTAGAGTAAACATACGTTTATGTATGTTTACTTGTATTTGAAAACTTCCTTTAAAAAAAGTTTATTTTATCTACATACATATGTATGCATATGCTAGTATGTATGTATATTTTTTGTTATTTATTTAAATAATATAATTTTCTTCTAATAGGATTTCTTTTCATATTTTAGCTAGAATTATTAGAAAAACCTCTTATACATACAAGCAGCACTTGCATAAAAAGCTGTATGTAAATGAATCTGTTTTCTCTCTATGTACTCCAATTAAACAGGCAATTAAATTTTAAATTAAGCAAGTTTTACACAAGAAATTAACACTTTACTCTCGTTACACTTAAATAAGGATTTTGTACTTTTTCGTAGAGTGTGTAGTTTTATAAGTTACTTAAAAGCTTGTTAAATAAATAAAATTTTATATAATTATATTTTCTTCTATAAAATATTTTGCAATTTTTCTACGTTATATTTTTTTTTTTTTTCTTATTTATACTTAATTTTTTCATTTCCTTTAAAGCTTTTGATGTTGGATTTTCTTTACAAAATATATATATATATAAAAAAAACGTAAAAGTGCTCATTTAATCTTAATAACAACATGTTTTATGGGGTTTTTTCCTTTCTTTCTTATTTTTTTTCACTTTTCTTAATCAAAAGAGTCTACTCGTTTTCGTTCTTCTTACAATTAAAATAACTGAAACATGCCTGTACTTGGCAAAAAAAAAAACATTTCAAAACATGTTACAAGGGATTTGTTTTATTATAAAAATTATAAATACTTATTATAATTAAGCTGTAGTAAAATGTATATGAAAGTATTAAGAATGTTTTGTTTTTTTCTCCTTTTTTTACACTCTTTTGCAAGAAAATGTAAAGCAGGCATTTAATAAGTAATTGTTAAGAAACATAAAAGATTAAAGACGTCAATTGCCAACTAAATAACAACCTTAACCCTATAATGTGACAAGATTTTTTTCTTTCTGTACTTAAAAGCGTATTTTTAAATTTAAACTTAAATTTTCTTAATTCATTAGATAAAACTTCTTAATAGATTTTAGTGAAAATTTTACATTTAAAGAAAGTTTCTAAATGTATAACACTATAGCTCTATTAACAATAAAAAAGTAGCTTTTTGTTCTCTTATTTCAAATCCCTTTTTACTCCACTTTTATTTGCATTTTCTACTTCCGCCTTATACAAAAACATAAATGTTAAATAAAAACTCTATTCCTATGTCTGTTGTCGTCGTCATCATCGTCATTATTTCCATCAACTCGTCTTTAGCATGTTAAATGAAAATAATTTAGACAAATGATATGAATGGAAACTAAATCATTCGCCATGGGTATTAATTAGCGTCATGATGCATACTCATGAGAAGGAACAAGAAGAACGATTATTTGTTATTATGTATTTTTTTTAGTCTGAAGCTGAAATGTAAAAGGTTCTAACTGAAAGTTTTTAAATTTTACGAGGAAATCAAAAAGTGTAACACAGGTCGGCAATTTTTTAACCCAGGGACCAAAGTATACTTTTCTAAAGAATTGAACGGCATGAAGAATTTCCATCATATCTGGGATTCGAGAGATCCCATTGAAAAAAACTGTATTTTTGGATCTTTTGAGATGTTATAATAGCGTCATCTGAAAGTTCATTCTTTCAGCTTTGAAATATATGCTTAACATCTAACATATATATCTTCCTTCTTCTTCGAGATATCTTAATTTAAAGCTTTAGATTCAATGCGGCTCAATCCTTTAGAAACATATAACTTGGTCTTAGGATTTCGACTTTTTTGTCGGCCTGTGTATTTTTTTTTAAATTTTTTGTTTATTAGGTTCTTTTTCATGTTATCTGACACTACGTATGTGATTTAGTACTTATTTTTAATAGTTTTTATACCCTACATCACTACAGTGTGAACTTTTTATACTTTTGTGCTGATGATTGTAACACAAAACCTCAGTCGTTATACAATAATTTTTGGTGTCGTTTATGCTATGGGCGTCCGTCTGTCCTTCTCCTATTCATATAAAAACGTTTTAAACTTTAGCTCACAGAGAAACCCTATTAATTGTGTTTTAAGTCCGTTAACTTTAGCTCAAAGACAAACCCTATTGATTGTGGTTAAAGTCCGTTAACGGTTTCACATAGTTCCCATACAAATATTCCCCCGAAATTGCAGTAAATCGCGATATAATTCGAGGAAGATCGTTCCATATCCCCATATTAACCCTCTTTCAGAAACAAGTTTTTTTTTCTTTCTATAGCAGATGTAGGGTAACATAAAAACGGTGACGACCAACTACTTGTTTTTATAATACAGTAATATGTGTCTTTTAAGAATTAAAAGTTGAAATAAATTATGAAAGTATGTGACATAAATACAATGACAGCAAAAAGAAAAGAAGACAAAAAATCATAAAAAAAGGATTATAATAGTTAAAGATAAGAATAAAACATGTGAATTATAGAGATAATAAAATGAATTTTTGAAACAATTAGAGATAGTTTAAGGATTATCCGACACTTTCAAGTCATATTTCAATCTGTTAAAAAAATAGATTTTAAACAAAGCTACTTTTAAATAAACAATATTTAATAAATTAAATAATACTGTAAAATGTATGTAGGTAACTTTATATACCCTATTTTCTTAAGCCTATTAATCAAACACCTTTATAAATATAATGCTTTGAATAAATCCTATTAACTTTTAATAAGATTATGAAAAATAATCTGTTATAAGTATTAAAAATTTATTTCAAGTTCAGAGTTTTATTAGCAAAAAAAAAATTAAAGGGAAATCTATATATGAAATAACAACAAATTCAATGAAATAATATATTCCATATATAACTAGGCCTTCTAGAACTAAAGTTATTGGTAATAAACTAAAAAAAAAGCCCATTAAACACGCAAAGTATGCCAATACATAGATATGTATAAAAACATGTAAACATGTGTGTAAGTGTGTACGCAAATTGGCTTATAGAAGCATACTAAGCTTATTACTAACTTACACACACACACACACACTCCTTTCTTTACTATCAGTCCTTCACATGAACACACATACAATACAAACAAACTGTTGCTAACACATATACTTAGGCTGAATACAACAATACAGGCTTAAGTCTGTTTTTCCTCTTTTATATTCCAAGAGATAAAAAATTTTGTATGTACGTATGTATTTGAAAGCATGAGTGTTTGTGTATTTGTATACATTATGACTATAAGTGTCTGTATGTTAGTAAAGTGCCGTGATTTTGTCTATAGAAGATTTTATTTTCATGTTCTTTTTTTCTCTTTCTACATTCCAGGACTAACGCTACAAACTGGGAAGGCTGGCTTTAGTCTTATACCCTTTAAATTCTCGCTTAAGGTATCTTCAGGTAAGGGTTCTTCTTTCTGTTACTTTTTATTTATTTAAGTATGAATATGTATGCTAAGAATCACACAATCTTTAATGTATGTATGTTATTGTTGTTGTTGCAGTCTTATAAAATTGAACGAATGTATGTATATTTTACTAGCACTATTTTTCACATTTCTTGTGCTAGTGCCTTTTTATCTGTTTGCATTTCTGTTTGCAATTTTAATAGAAAATGTGAAGAACGTCGTGTATAGTGGAACAAAGAGGAAATGACTTACAATTTTATCATCAGCTAGAGTTTAATATAATTTAAGGTGTAATTGTGTATCAGGTTGCGCAAATATAACAGGATGTATGTATATGATTTTTGTAATACAAACAATATATAGTAGTTTGTTTTAACATTTAAAGAGTTTATGTGATTTTTTTTTCAGTGGTATTAATTTTAAATTAATTTTGTTAAAGCATACAAAATTATATAAAATATTCTACAAGAAAAAATTGTGTCTTTGCTGCAAGTCTGCATAATAAAAAAGTTGAAAAAATATACAAAAATTCCCCTAAATTGCTTGTAATCATATTGGTTTTTAACCATTTTCAAACTTGACTACCTTTGCGTATACTTAATATTAATTGAAATTCATACAAAAAATATTAAGTATACGCTTGGTTTAACCCAAGATTACCCCTTAAATCAAACATATTAAGTTAAATCTCTATTAAAGCTAAAATAAAGTTTATTTTCGATAAAGATTCTTACTAGTTTTAAACCCTCTTCAAAGAAAAATGTCCCAAACTTTTTTTTTCTTCTGTAAGTAAGAAACCCCTTTTATTTCCGGCAAGATTTATCCAACTAAATATTTTTTGAATTTCTCTTCTTCAGTTTGCATTTTACAGTCACGCTTGTTTTGTCAAAGTATAAGTGTAATACGTAAAGGACTTAAGAAAAATTATTCATGTTTGAAAAGGCAGGTTGGTGGGTCAGGGTGGTGATGGATGGTCAGTTGGGTGTATGGTGAAAGAGTAGCAATTTAAATTAACAGCATTATACTTTGCACTACAGCTTTGAAAATGCACTAATATTTGAGAATTTTCTTCAATAAAAAGTGTGATTTGAAATTGAAAAAACTCTAAGAACTTTTTAAAGAAACTTATTAAAAGCAATAGATTTAAGAATTATATTGTAATTCTTTAAAACTTGTCAACCAAACAGAACAAATCAAGACAATTTCGGTTACCCTGGTCTGAAGTGACTTGTATCCCACAGAGCGTTCTGCAGCGTTCAAAACAAATAGGAATCGGAAGGAACAAGTACTCACCTATAAAGCAGTTAAGGCAATACTTTCTAATCTGTTCTTTCTAAATAGTCCAAATTCTGTTGGATGCATCCTGCTGCTGGAGTTTCTGAAGCTTAATACCATTTAGTATCTTTTGAAAAGTACCTTTTAAAGAATTTAAATGTTACATAAAAAGTACTCTTGGCAGCAAATGCCTTAATAAATTATTCCTAAAAAAGATAAAAACTATAAAAAAAACTATCCCCAAACTATCACAACTGCTATCTATAAACTGTCCTTTTTCATGGTCCTATGACATTTAAGGAAATTAAACATGTGTTTTTATAGGATTCTCAAAAATTAATTGACAGTTTTCATAACATACAGCAACAATATTTGGTTTCTATAACAGAAAACCAGAAGAAAAAAACTACTACAACAGCAGTTTGCAAAAAAAAAGAAGAAGAGAAAAACAACAAACTTGAACTAGTTACTGACCAACTTTATAAAGACTTTGGCTAAAGCATCCTACAACAATAAAACAAAAACAATAAACACACAAAAACCATATAGGAAACCTCAAACAATTTAAGCAAACAATATGTTTTAACTCTGAAGCACAAGCACACACACACATACACATACATGGATGCAGGAATACATATTTTACAACCCTGCAGTTTCTTGTGTCATATAACTTTACTTATTAAGATATAGTGAGGGAAAAGCTTAAAGTTACTACTCTTTAGTTTACCCAGGTACAAAAAAGTGGCAAATAGATTACCAGAAGACAAAAAGGGACTAATGTTTTCCTCTGCACATTGCAAATAGTTCAAAGATATCATAGGATCCTTTGAAACTATTGTACTCTTTGCACTGCAAACAGGAAATCAATCGTCCCTTTGGCGGCCTAAGTAAGTTAAAAGAATTCATTGACTCCTTGTAAAACTGAAGGGTTCAAAATAAATACATACGTTTAAAGACTTTATACATACATAAATTTGATTTTTAAAAGTCGTAATTTAGGGTGACCAAAGGAAATTTTAAACAAACTCAATTTTTAAGATAAAAAATTTTTTTAAGAGACTAAAAGAAGAGTCTTAAGTTTGATTTAAAAAAAAATCCCAAAAATGTCTATATTGTTTATATTAATTTTACAAGTCATGGCAACTCTTTTTTTGCAAACCTTTATAGATGCTGTTGACATGTTTTTGTTTTTTTTGTTTTCTAAAATTTATAAGAGAACTTGAATAAATTTTTAATTTATAAAACAGAACACCACAACAATAGCAACAACAACAACAATTTTACTTTAACGCTTATCTATAAATTTTCATATAAAAAAATACGTTTTTTAATCAAATCAAAAGAGCATAGAATACAATATAACAAGAGATTCAATAATATATTTTTATAGATTCTATTTAAATTTGCTCATCTTTGATTTCCCCATAAAGTCTTATCAGTTTGAATTTAAAAAAAATATGTAAACTAATTACTCTCTCTACAAAAAAAAGAAAAAACTTTGCAAAATAAAAACTTAAATTCAATCAGTTGTTTTAATCAATTCGTAAAGTCGTCATGTTGTTGAAAACGCGTCTGCCATCAATACAATTTTTACTCTACGCCCTTCTAATAATCTTTGTAAAAATCATTAAAGCTAAACATTCAGCTGACCAGCTACAATGTGACTCTGCATTTTGGTCAAATATACAAAGACAAACGGAGCTATATGTTGATGTAGATGAAAAACCTTGTGATGACTTTTGGAAATATGCTTGCGGTAATTGGCGTGCCTCTTCCCAGTTAAGATTTGCCAAACCCACGGATACTTTGGCCACCATTAAGGCGTCCAATAAATATTTGCTGTTGCAATATTTTGAGGAAATGGAAAAGGGCAGGCAAATCAATGACACCGCTAAGGGAGTAGCTACTTTTTATAAATCTTGTCTGGATAAAAGAGCTTTTAAATCTAAAGCTCAAGATGAACAAGCCATAAGGGTGTATACTGATATTTTAAAAAATATTACCAGCAATTGGCCCATTCTGCAGAGAAACTTTAGTGTAAACAATGTGGACAAATTATTCAATTGGGAACAAGTGGCAGCAGAAATGCGTAGATATGGTGCCCAGGCTTTAATGAGCAGTAAAATACAACCCAATTGGCAAAATTCTCAACAATTAATATTCTATATAATGCCTCCCTCTTTTGAGCTGCTCAAGGCTCGACAATCGGATACTAAAGTGGATGAGGAATCAGAATTTTTTTATAAGCGTTATATAAAACTCTTAATGATGGATTTGGGTGTACGAGTAAGAAAAGCCAATCAAATTGCTGAGGAAATTATAGAATTTGAAAAATCATTAATGCAATTGGTCAATAATGAGCGTTCGGTGGTTTTGAAAGAGCCTCAAACCTTAGCTTCCTTAGCTGCTGAAATACCTGACATAGATCTTTTGAAATATTTCAATACTTTAATGCAGGATTTTAAATTACCTGACAACTATCAAGACTCTCTACTAATAGTAGCTGATCAGCAGTATTTAAAACAATTGTCTCGTTTCCTTACAAAATCTAGTGCTGAAATTATAGCCAAATATTTTTTAGTGCAATTCTTGGCCAATTTTCAAGTAAATCTTCATGAAGAGTATAGTTTTATCAAGCAAAAAGAGGAATGTTTAATGCAACTCAATGATTTCATGCCTTCCGAGTTGTCTCATTTGTTCCTGCAACTGCGTCATGGTAATGCTGAGGAATTTTTGCAGCAAACCGAGCAGCATTTAAGCAAAATCTTTGATAATCTTAAGCAGCAATTTGAGAAACTTTTAAATTCCTCAGTGGTATTTGAAAGAGATCCAGCCACCAAGATCGTAAGCAGAGAGAAATTGAGAGCCATGAAATTACTCTTACCCACTTTGGAATTAAGTACAAGAGAACAATTTGTAATGGGAGATAATTATGATGTTAATTTGATCAATTTATCTAAATGGAAAACTACACAACAGTTAAACAAAACTATACCCCATATGGTAAAGGAGGTAAGTTCCCTAAAAGTGGAAACAAAGCTGTCTTTAACTTCTTTATATAGAGACCAATCCTATGGACCCTTAGATATCAATGCCTATTATCGCTTAAAGAAAAATGCCATAGAAATACCTTTGGGTATTCTGCAGTCACCTTTATATGATCAGTGTTTAAAACCAGCCCAAATCTATGGTGGTTTGGCCTATATATTGGCCCATGAAATATTACATGGTTTTGACTATGATGGTCTGAATTATGACAAATTGGGTAATGTGGCCAATGCCTGGGGTGTTAAGGCCATTATTAAGTTTGGCGTTAGATCCAATTGTTATCTCAATGAACGTTACGATAATGGTCATGTTACGATCAATGAAAATATAGCCGATTCTGAGGGTTTACGTTTAGCTTTGGAAACGTTTCTAGAAAGTGAAATGGATGAGTCTTTCGATCAGGAGGATTTGAAATTGTTTTTCCTAAGCTTTGCACAAACCTGGTGTGGCAACAGCAGTAGTGATACCACACAAATACATTTACATGCCAGTCATCGGGAGAGAGTTAATAATGTTTTGGGCAACTTTATGGAATTTGCTGATGTTTATAAATGTCGTCCGGGGAATAATATGCATCCTGAGGAAAAGTGCAGAATATGGTAGTGATAATAATTATAAAAAATACTTTTTATATATGTGATTTATTTAACCCTTAAACGCTACTCAT